TTCGCGCGAGGCCGCAGCCAGGCGGGAATTTAAAACTCCTCTTTTGCGCTTTTCTTCTTTTTGCTATTCTTCATCAATTGCCGACGCCAAATGCTGCAGCTGCTGCTGCAGCAGAGAAGCGGCTTTCTTGAGAATGCCACTTGTGCAAGATGTGAACTCAGTCTAACTCTTCTTCTTTCTGCTCCTCTCACAGCTTTTGAACTCTTCCAGCGAGCCAAAAGAAAGGCACTTAAGTAAAAAAAGCCATTTAGAAGTTTTAATGCAACGATAAAGGATTCTTTGCTTGCACGCAGCTCTTTCAAATCTTACCTGGAGGAACTGAACTCCCGGAGTTCAAAACAGCAGAATGGAGAACTGGCTGCGGGTGAAAGTCTTGAGGACTTCCGGATTTGTTTTTAATATTTAATTTGTTTAAAGTTTTAATTCTTTTAAATACTTCTTGCATTTAAAAGCTGCGGCTTTTGCTGCATAAGGCACTGGCGCTTTCCAGTGCAAGTCAGCGGCAACAGCCGAAAGATTCGAATTTGCAAAAAATATATTATTCCTTTTGAAACGTTTCAAGTTATAAACACTGCAGTTTGAATCAGCAGCAAGAATACAAGGAAACGAATCTTCAGGAGAAAAGAAAACTTCTTTTTGAAGCTCTTCAAATTCTTAACACTGGCCTTGTTGTTGCAACTGCTGGGGCCTGATCGCTTCACGACTTAGTCGGTTTTTGAGCTTATTAATTTCAGTTAATCTTTTCTTAAGCGTATTAGTTTAATTATTATTTAAATCCGAACTTATTTTGAATCCTTTGACCCTGAAGGCTGTTTCTGGGCCACAGTGAGACGCTGCGCTCCACGAAAATGCAGCACTCAACTCAGTTGCCATTTTCCTAAAAGTGCCTCCAAATAAAATCAATTAAATCCAAAATCCAGTAAAATGTAAATTCAAACTTTCTGCTTTTGCTGCAGCTCATTTCCCAGCACAGAAGGGGCTGCAGCGCAGCTCATTCTACGCTTTTTGCTGCACTGGCATTTTGGCGAAGTGAGAGTTCATTCTAAAAAAACAAATGCACTTATTTCCTGTAAATTAATTGCAATTTAAAATTTTCAAAGTCTTCGAAAGATGCACTTAGACCTGCTTTTTTTGTTCAAGGAAATCCAGAGTCTGCCATTTGCACAAGACCTGAGACTTTGAGGACTTCTTCGCAAGTTCAGCAGCAATAAAAGAAATGTATTAATGCCACTAGTCTTTGAATTAATTTAAAATATTTCAAAGCTTTAATTTTGTCGAAGAGTTGGGAAAGACGGGGAGAAAGCCTGTGGCCCGCAGGCCAATTGTTGGCACTAGGCACACTTTTGGGATTTATTTTTTCCGTTAGTATTTATCACATTTAATTATTACTCACTACTTATCTTTAGTTTATTGCTCCTTGTTGTTATTTATTTCTTTTTGTTAAAATTATTATTTCTGGTTTTAACTTATTACTTTGACTATCATGTATTACATTTTATGGGCATTCATAACTCCTTTGGTACTATTTATTACGTTTTATCCTCTTTAAATGTTATTTTTAATTTTTAATTTCGCTATTCTTTATTTATGGTCATTTGCGAAAGAAAACAAAAAGACGCCACTGGCCGTTTGGGCCACCCCTGGGTGAACAAAAGGACAAAAGTTTTTCCCTTTCGCCCATTCTTGGGATCTTCGAGCTGCTAAGAAATGCCATTTAATGGGAAGATTGAAAGGCCATTTAGGAGGCAACAATTGCACTAATTAGTCATCTTTTGAAGGGGAAAAAAGGATCAAAACTGCTGCAAAGCTGGCGCCTTAGCAGTAGCGCCCTGGGGCGCAGGCACCAAGGCTAGCCGACAAAGTTAGTGCAAAAAAGGCCATTTTAGAGCTCTTTAAAAACCATTTTTGAATGTTACACTGGCAGTCATTGTATAGAGCAAAATCACAGAAAAGAGAATCAGAAAAATGTGCAAAATGGTGGCGAAAATTCCCTGAGCGCTACCGCCTTCGCGTTCTGAGGTGTCTGTACAGCAGCAGGTAAATCCAAGCTCAGAAGCTCAAATTACGCTTTTTAATAAAAATTATGATTAATGAACTTTATAATCTCGATTAAAAGCCCATTTAAAGTTTCTGAGCTGAGGCTTGACTGCCCCCGGAAACAGAAACAATCTGGATCTTCTCCCTGCCACTTCCTGCTGCCAGCAGTTTTTTTTCTTTTCTTTTCTTCCTCATCAAAAAGTATCTGAGTGCCAATTTAAAATGACAAAAAGTTCTTTAAAACTCGCCATGTTTTGTCAGTTTTCCATTTGCTGTTGTTTCTGCAGCTCAGGGGAAAGCAACAAAAAGAAAGGAATATAAAGTACAGGCACCCCAGCAAACTTCCATTTAGAATTTTAATTAGCGGAAAATTAAAAAAGCATTTAAGAGTTTAATTGGCAACAGAATGAAATAGAATTTAAGAGTCTTAATTGGCAAAAGAATAAAAGAGAATTAAAGTGCAGAAAGCCAACTGAACTTCTTGGAGTTTAATTAGCTCTCCTTCTAGCTGCTTCAACACAGAGCAAATCAAAGGCTCGAATGCTTCATTGTTTATTTATTTATTTATTTTAATTAATTAATTAATTTATTTATTTATTATTTTCTAAATTTGAGACCCGGAGGCCAGTCTGCAAACCAGGGTCTTCAGAGGCTCAGCAAAACTACGAAGAGAGTTAAATAAAGGAATTTGTTTTCTAAATAAAAGGGTTTTATAATTGCAAATAAAAGGGTTTTATTATTTTAAATAAAAGGTTTTATTATTTAATAAAAGGGTTTATCTTTTTAAACAAATGCCAACAAATTTGCCGCGCTAACGGAGCTGAGCGCCCAGGAAAGCCACAGCCAGGAACTTTGCTGCAACAAAACTGCAGCTGCTGCAGCGAAACTGCAGCTGCTGCAGCAAAGGGCTTTTTTCTCTTTTCTTTGCTTTGCTGCAGTAAAACTGTGCTGCAGCAGAACTGCACTTCAGCAGCTGTTTTCCTTGCTAGGGATTTAGTGCAAATTAGTTTTGCTGCAGAACACAAAGGAATGCCTCAAATTGCTGCAGCAAAGGGCCTTTGGATCTTTTGTGAGGCTTTGCTGCAGCAAAACTTTGCTGCAGCAGCAAAACTTTGCTGCAGCAAAGTTTTACTGCAGCAAAACTTTGCTGCAGCAACTGCAAACTACTTGCTGGGCACTTGCTTCAAATTAGTTTTGCTGCAGAACACAAAGAAGCGCCTCTAGTGCAAATTAGTTTTGCTGCAGCATACAAAGAAATGCCTCAAATGCAAATTAGTTTTGCTGCAGCATAAAAAGAATTGCTGCAGCAAAAGTCTTTTGGATTTATTTTGCTGCTGGCAAAGCGAGATCGCTGCATGCAAATGCAGAAAGCTGCAAAGTTGAATTGCAGTTCAAGAGGGGCCTCGCTGTTCGGGGGAAGAAGCTGGAAACAAAGTAAATACTTCATCTAAAAGCTAAAATAAAATAAAAATAAAATACTAAATCAAATTTAAAATTAAAATAACTATTCTGCAAGCTGTATGGAGCTGCTGTGGCTCGACCAAAGACAGGCAGTCTGCACAGGCGGCGCGGGGGCTGCAGCAGCAGCATAACGTAGAGGAATTTCTTTGAATTTGCAGCTAAAATGAATTATATTTATTAATAAACTAAAAATAAACTAAAAATTAAATTCAAACAAGATTGGAGCGAAAGGGAGGCTGAAAGCCAGCGGGAATTGGCTGCATGCGGAGGCGGGCAGCGGAAAAGCTTGTATTGAGCCACTGATTTTCGCGTTGCTGCGAACTTTGAGTTTATTTTTGAAAATTAATTTCATTTAAATGCAACAATGGAGAGAAAAGAGCTTTTGCTGCAGCTGGCGGGAGTGTAGGCAGCTGCTGCGCGCGGGAGCCAGCGGGAACCTCTCGAAGCCTCACTCTGTCGGCAGCAGCAGCAGCAAAGGGAGCAGCAGCAGCAGCAGCAGCAGCAGCAGCAGAACCGAACCCAGGAAAGCAACAGCGACAAAGACAACCGCGTAGGCTGCAGCAGAAGCAACTGCAGCAGCAGCAGCGCCCTTGCAGCAGGCCTGCGTAAACCCAATGCAACGAAAGCTTCTTTCAAAGCCGGAGCAGCAAAAGCAACAGCAACAGCAGCAGCCGCAGCTGCTTTGAGGAAAACAGCAGCAGCAGCAGCAGCAGCAGTTGCCCCGTGGCAGGAAGGAAGCAGGAACAGAGCTTGAAGTGCCAGCCAGCAGCAGCAGCAGCAGCAGCAACGGAGGCGGCTGCGCCTCCTGCATGGTGCTGCTGCTGCTGTGGCAGCAGCAGCACCAGCCACAGAGGTAGCATCCACTGCGTAGCTGCCGGGGCAAAACCTCTCCGCAGCAAGAGCAGCAGCAGCAGCAGCAGAAGCAGAAGCAGCAGCAGCAGCAGCAGCAGCAATGGATTTGATGCGGGATATGCTCGGCATGAGCGGCGGGCCCCCCCCGCGGCAAACAGCAGCAGCAATTGGCCTGGGGCAGCCGGTGAGTGCAGCAGCAAAACAAAACGGGCCTAGCAGCAAAAGAAGAAACAATTAAAAGCAGCAACAGCAGCAGCAGCAGCAGCAAAAGAAATAAGTAACGTAGTATCTCTTTTTAAATTGAGAGGACAGTTCGCAGTGTCTGTACACCCCAAGTAGTCACTTTTTAGCTCCAAGTTCTTTTTGCTGTTTCGCTTTCGTCGCTTCTTTTCCGGCTTGCTGCAGCAGCAAAACAGGTCTTTGTTGCTTGTGCTGCTGCTGCTGCTGCTGCTGCTGCTACTTCTGCTGCTGCTGCTGCAGCAACGTGGCAAGAAGAAGGGCCCATCTGCTGTTGCGCCCCTCGTGTCTTTGCCCGCCGCCTTCCGCACCCCACCCGGCAGCAATGCGGTTTGTCACCTGCTGCTGCTGCTGCTGCTGCTTCTGCTGCTGTCGCATTTGATGCTGCTGCATCTGTTGCTGGTGCATCATTTGCCGCTGCTTTCTCCCCGCTGCAGCCTCTTCGTGTGCCGCCGTTGCCGGCTTTTCGCGCGTTTGCTGCTGCCGCTTTCGCTCGTGTTGCAGCGGCTGCCTTGCAGCTGCTGCTGCTGCTGCTGCTGCTGCTGTTTGCTCAGGGAAGCAGCAGCAGCAGGAGAGCCCGCTGCACCTCCAGGTGGCGGCTCTGCGCTTTTCAAAATAAGGCGAGGGAAGGCGAGGGTTTGCGTTTGGTGCGTTGGCAGCGGGTGACGGAGGCGCAGGAGCAGCAGCTGCAGCAGCAGCAGCAGCAGCTGCAGCAGCAGCTGCAGCAGCAGCAGCAAATGGAGCTGAACGACCGCCTCAAGTACTTCCAAGTCGACGAAGACGCAGAATTTAATTATGCCAAATTCCACGTCAAAATTCGCCACCCCCCTCTCACCAAGGCCCTCTACGACAAGTTACTTGCGGTAAGAACCAGCAGCAGCAGCAGCAGCAGCAGCAGCAGCAGCAGCAGCAGCAGCAGCGGCGGCAGCAGGTGGTGCAATCGGGGCCGTCTGCGCTGCAGTTTCTCCCGTTTTCTTTGCCAAGCAGTATTAAATTCATAATTAAATAGTTTTAATTAAAAATAATTAAAAAAAGAATGAAAAATGAGGAAAGAGAAAATGAAAAGTGAATTTGCTGCTGCAGGACTTGGACCCGGAGTGGAGTTTCGAAGCAACTCTGGAACTGTGGCAGCTCTGCGAAGTCTACGAACTTCGCTGGTTTGTAATTGCCGACAGATTTAAGGAAAATAATAAAATGAAAATCACAGATTTGAAAAAGCGCTACTTCGCCGTCGCCAAGGTGTACGTACACCCCAGCCCCCGCCTCCGCCCCTTCATTTCCGCGTTTCTCCTTTTATTTTTATTCTTTTTTTCTCCTTTTTCTCCCGCATGCATTTCCCTTTCTTCCCCTTTTCTTTGCATGCGTTTTGGGGCTTTTTTTCAACCCTTTTCGGGGCTTTTTGCCCACAAGAAGTCTGCACCACTTCACACACAAATTTGCTTATCTACATACCTACATATGTATATATATATGTATATAACAATATATATATATTATTATACATATATAAATATTTATTATACATATGTTCATAGTATATATATATGTATATATATATACATTATACATATATATATTATATATATGTACATATATGTAATATATATATGTTATATACATGTACATATATATATATATATACATATACATATGTGTGTATATATATGTTTATATTTATATATTGTAGATGTGCGCATGCATGCAGAGTGGGTGTGCATCTAACACATGCTGCTGCAAATTC